TTTTAGGGATTGGGCAAGAGGGAGTGGAAGATGGCACACCCAGGTACTCCAGGGCTTTTTAGCTTCTTTCATAAGTAGGAGAAGGAGGAGATGCTTCTCCCGGGTTCCTTTCACACAGCCTCACACGGATTTCTTCATCACTACACCCTGTGAGTAAGTGAGACACCCCTGGAAAGCCTGCAGCTAGGGTGGTCAGCAGAAGACGGAGTAAGAGGAGATCAGCAGTGAGATCTACCCGGGATGGGGGCGTTCCACTCACTACGCTGCACATTGGACTACCGGACAACCTTAAACAACGCTGGTGGCCTGTGGTGGCCTGTGGCTCACGCCTGTAATCCCAGCACTTTAGGAGGCCGAGGCGAACCGATCACCTGATGTCGGGAGTTCCTTGTTTCTTTCAGTTTGAAACCTCCATGGTTTTATCCCTGCACTCTAAGTAAATGTCATTGGGGCCTAGATTTCGGCAGACTGTAGAAAGGTTGATTACCAGCAGGGGCGCACTAAGCATCTCGAGCTGATTCTGTGTTTAGGGAAGACCCTGCAATCTTTTTCTGTACTTATTTTCTTATTTCCAACTTTTACTTTAGGTTCAGGGTTACAGGTGGAGGTTTTTTATATTGGTAAATTGTGTATTGCTGGGAGTTTGGTGTAGAGATTATTTTGATAGCCAGGTAATGAGCATAGTACCTGCCAGTGTTTCGATCCTCACCCTCTTCCTACCCTCCACCCTCAAAAGACCCCCGTCTGTTGTTCGTTTCTTCGTATCCATGTGTATTCATTATTTAGCCTCCACTTTTAAGCGAGAGCATGTGGTATTTGGTTTTCTTTTCCTGCAGTAATTCTCTTAGAATAATGCCTCCAACTCTATGTTGCTGCAAAGGACATAACCTTGTTTTTATTACGGCTGCACAGTATTCCATGGTTTATGCATACCACATTTTCTTTATCCAGTCCACTGTTGATAGGTATCTAGGTTAACGCCATGTCATTGCTGTTGTGAATAGTGCTGTGAGGAACATATGCATGCATGTGTTTTTGTGGCAGAATGATTTATATTCCTTTGGGTATATTCCCAGTAATGGGACTGCTGGGTTGAATAATGGTTCTATTTTAAGTTCTTTGAGAAATCTCCAGAATGCGTTTCATGGTGGTGGAACCAATTTACATTCCCACCAACATTATATAAATGTTCCCTTTTCGCCACAGCCTCACCAGCACCTGTTATTTTTTTTACTTTTTAGTAATAGCCATTCTGACTGGTGTGAGATGGCCGCTCACTGTGGTTTTGATTTGCGTTGCCCTAGTGATCAGTAATATTGAACATTTTTCATATGCTTGGTGGTCACATCTGTCTTCCTTTGAGAAGACACTGGAACTTGCCGAATAGTGTATTTCGCTGTTATGAATGTCTAGTAGAATATAATGAAAATTTTAATTTCATGCATTATTAAATTTATTTTAATGGTTTAAAATTATTGCTTTTAATAACTGAGTTAAGTTGCATTTAAACTTAATTAGCATAGTATTTTTTTTACTGCAAATAATGCTTTACACCAAAATATTGATAGTGATCAGATTAGTGTGAGAACATACGTGATTATATGTAGTGATTAATATTTTAGGAAGTAACTAGAGCTGGCATTTTGGGGTGCTGCAGACGATTCTTACCAATCCAGACAATTTTCTAAACCAGACCTTGCAGTTGTCTAACAGTGAGAATAGATGACTAACTGAATTTGTCAGACTCCCTGCTTTCTATCATAAAAACGACGCAGAATTGACGCAGTTACGTGGCTTGGAAATCTTAAATTCATCAGCACTCATTAAAAAAAAAAAATTGAATGGAAGATACTTGGAGAGGCTGGGTCCGTTCAGCACAGGGCAGCTGGGTCGGCTCCCATTTCTGTGTCCGCAGCGCCCTCGTGTGGTAAAATGCGCCCAGTTTTCCTGGCTGCCTTTCAGGCCAGGGGTCCCATTGGTCCTCACCTCCCAGTACAGGAGCTGCTGTCCTGGGTCACACCCCATCGGAGATCACCATCTGCCAGGAGGCTAGATCCCCGCTCCGGTTGTTTTGTAGTTTTGCGCAGTAAGTTACTGACTGGTAGTGCTGGTAGTAAGTCCTGAGTAGGACATGGTGATTCCATTCCTTACCCATGATGTGTACACGCAGTTATCCTCACCCGGCTGCTTGGAAGGTGGTGTTTATTTCCACAAAGCAGCAGTTTCCTAGAGGATGGTTTAGAACCCAGCGCATCCACGGAGACCTCCTTACTTCAGTCTGTAGCTGTGGTCATGCCCAGTAGGAGATTTCTGAGTTTCGAAGACCCGGTTAGGTACAGGAAAACCTTTTGCATTTGCTGAAGCACCACAAGGCTGGGGAGGGGGTTGGGGAGAGGCTGGCTTACTGCTGGAGGAGGACAAGACATGGCCTGGTCATCAGCGCAGAGGGGGAAACGTTATGGGGTTAGTCCTTACCCCGTACCCTGCTCTGCCTCCTGCAGAGACTCCAGATCTCTCATGCCAACCAGGTGAGTAGGAATACATTTCTTTGTTTCCTAACTCGTGAAGATTTTTTTATCCAAATTCCTTAGACTCACACAGTGTATGTTGTTGATTTACAGAGGCAGTAGTGAGGCCCCATACCCCAATGCCTCCCACCTTGAGACCTGGGCAGAGGATTGCCCTGGGAAATTCAAACCTTAAATCAGTAGGTATCAGCAGAGACAGGCATGGTGGCTTAAAGATGAAGAACACAGATGGCCTCCCTATTCATGGAGAGGCCCGCAACCTTTATGTGACTCTACATACACCTGCTCCTGTGTGCGGATGCCTCTTGACTTACCATGGGGTTACCTCCCAATAAACACAGCACAAAGTCAAAAAGTTGTCATCTGTCTGGATATATGTATTAGTCTGTTCTCACATTGCTATAAAGAAATACATGAGACTGGATAGTTTATAAAGAAAAGAGATTTAGACCAGGCATGGTGGCTCACGCCTATAATCTCAGTAGTTTGGGAGGCCAAGGTGGGCAAATCACCTGAGGTCAGGAATTCACGACCAGCATGGCCAACATGGTGAAACCCTATCTGTACTAAAAATGTGAAAATAAGCTGGGTGTGGTGGCATGTGCCTGTAATCCCAGCCACTCTGGAGGCTGAGGCCGGATGATCACTTGAACCTGGGAGGTGGAGGTTGTGGTTGCAGTGAGCCGAGATGGTGCCACTGCACTCCAGCCTGGGCAACAGAGTGAGACTCTGTCTCAAAAAAAAAAAAGAAAAAAAAAGAAAAGAAAAGAAGTTTAATTGGCTCATGGTTCTGCAGGCTGTATGGGATGTGCAGTGGCTTCTGCTTCTGGGGAGGCCTCAGGAAGCTTCCAATCCAACTTCCTACATGGCAGGAGCAGGAGCAGAAAAGTGAAAGGGAAGTGCCAGACACTTTTAAGCAACCAGATCTGACGAGAACTCACTCACTATCCCGAGAACAGCACCAAGGTAATGGTGCTAAACCATTCATGAAAGATCCACCCCCATGATTCAATTCCCTGCGCCAGGCCCCACCTCCAACAGTGGGGATTACAATCCGGCATGAGATTTGTGGGGACACAGACCCAAACCGTAGCATGTATCATATTATATATGTAGATGTAATATTGAAGGAGCTAAGATCACATGGCCCCAGAATGTGCTGCTCCAGCACACTGACTTTTTTGAGTTAAGGACACTTGAAAAACAGCAGGTGCCAGAAAATCATGCTGCCCTTCCTTCTGTTTCTTAAAAGCAGGAGATGAAATTCCTGTGTGAAAGATGTCTTCCAATACCAGGAGAAAAGTGTCATGCTTATCATCAAGGACAAAAAGTTGAGGCTGAGGGAAATCTGTACAAACCCTGTTAAACCAACCCTCCCCTTCCCTGCCACTCTCTACCCAGTTAAGTACCCCAGGCCTGCCACATCTCTGCCCAATTCTGTATATAAATGTAAGCGTTCAACTCTAATCGCACCTTCATTTTGCTGTGGAGTTTCCTATGCCATGTAAAAGTAGATTAAATAAATATGTATGCATTTTTCCTGTTGATCTAACTTATGTCAATTTAATTCTCAGGCCTAGCTGAAAAACCCTAAGAGGGTGAGGTGATATTTTGCTTCCCAATAATATAATCCATATAACCACCATATATATGTGTGTGTGTGTGTGTGTGTAAAAACAAATCATATTATATATAATACAATCTATACATCCCTCATATATGTTTCTGTATATGCATGTGTGCATATATAAATCTGTATATATATGGTTAAAAGCTGGGTGGTTCAAAGTCCTACCTTCAGAATCAGAAAGATTTCAAACCCAGCTGCCCTACATCCTCCTGATGTGACCTTGGGACAATTTTGTATCTCTCTAGTCCTCCATTTCTTTGGGTAAAATGGGGCTCTTGCTAGTGCCTCCCTCAAAGTTGTGAGGATTGAGTGCAGCCGTTTGGCAAGCGCTGGTGGCACCCATGTTCAAGGGTGGGAAGGCACAGTGTGGTGGTGGGATCGGGACTGCGTTAGGCTGCCTGTCTGTGAATGTGTGAATCATGACCGCCTTCTCTTGGGTGATGTCCCCATTCTTCAACGAACCCTCAGGTTGCAGCTTGGCTTCCATCTCCACTTAGCTATGAGGAAAGCGTGGGCTTGTCTGGCAAGTTACACATTTTTCATTGTATATCTACACATTGGCCTCCCTGTTAATTTATGACTCATATGCCAAACTGCACCCTAGAGAGGATCTGTCATCCCTGAGATGATGGAATTGGGTTTTGAGACAGGGCATCAAGAGGTGGACCTGAACTTGCCAGCATGCTGCCTCCCTTTGGGTCCTTTGGGAGATATTTCTTGGTGTCACTTTGTGCTGCATTCTTCTGCCGTAATAATTTCATACTTGCTATGAGTCAAAGAATAAATGAGCTCAAAGACTAATGAAGCCTCCATTTAAAAGATAACTTTCTCCTTTCTCCTAGGATACCTGGGATGAGCTCCTAATTGGTAGTGTAGAAGTGAAAAGGGTAATGGCGTGCTCCAGGTAAGGACCTTGCTAGACCCCAGGACGGCAGTGCAGCCCACCCATGGGTTCCTAACCACCACCTAACCCTTGGTTATTGCCTCACAGGTGTATTTTGACTACGGTGGACCCAGACAGTGGAATCATAGACAGGAAAGAGCCACTGGACACCCTGAAGAGGTACAATGCCAAACTGGCCAGTGTATTGTAAATATTGTCTCCACCCCAGAACTACCTATGGGTTTAGGTGGTATGTCTGCTTTAAGGAAGACACAAGCTTTCTCTCCAGAGAAACTTCCACTCTGTCTTCGAACCGATTTGTGTCAATTGGTTAATGAGAGCACTGTTCTTCCTCTCTTTTTCTGGATGGATTCTCTAGTGGTTTGGATAAACCTTTTTTAATTTTTTTTATTTTTTTTTTGAGAGGAGTCTCACTCTCTCCCCTAGTCTGGAGTGCAGTGGCATGATCTTGGCTCACTGCAACCTCCACTTTCTCAGTTCAAGCAATTCTCCTGCCCTGGCCTCCTGAGTAGCTGGGACTACAGGTGTGTGCCACCATGCCTGGCTGATTACTGTATTTTTAGTAGAGACAGGGTTTCACCATGTTGGACAGGCTGGTCTCGAACTCCTGGCCTCAATGATTTGCCTGCCTCGGCCTCCCAACAGTCTGAGATTACAGGCATGAGCCACCACTCCCAGCCTTGATAAACTTTGAATTGCATTATACTACATTTTGAAATTTTAATATCTCTCGTATCAATTTTTAATAATATTTATATATGCCTTTCCAAATTTAGGCCTCAAACACTTTATTTAATCATGTTTATTGCAACTCAAATTCCTTTATTAGAATTGATATCAAGGAATATGAGAATAATTGAAATTACATAATAAAATATTAGAAAAAAGTGAAGGCAGTGAGTTGTTAGAGTTGGTTTACCCAGAAGCTTCTTATATGCTATACATTTCTCTTTTGTTTTGTTGTTTAAAGAAATGTGGCTGACTTTAGTTCCCAGCGTAGGGAGTGTTTTTAGGCAGAACGTTCTTTGGAGCTGTCTTCCAGTTTGATTCTCTCCTCCATTTTGTGGTTTGTTTCCAATGGGTTTAGCTGAGAGAAGAGGTTATTTCATGACGCCCCCAGACTTGCAAATCTATTCTGTTTCTGGTTTTTAAGATGTAGTGATAATTATTTAAGATGCCGTGACAGTTACTGTTTTCTTTAGACGGGACAGTGGAGAAACTTCTGCAGTAGTCCAGGCCCACTTGCCACCTGCATCTCTGCCTGAAGCTTTGTTCACCACTGAACCCCAGCTTGGGCTTATAAACCTGGAGGGGGTTGAAAGCACGGTGTTTAAATGCGCTAAACAAAACGGCTGCAGAGTTCGGGGCCATTCCATTTTCAGATTTCATGGGGGTCTGTTTCAGGGAGTCGTGAAGCTGAAGGTACCCATATAGCCAAAGTATTGATTTTATACTTACACATATGATTTTTCCTTCTGGCCTTAAACTGAAGCCATGGAGAAGTTGTTTAGACTTTCAGAAAACTTCTAGAAAAGCTGGAAGTCACTTGCAGTTTGACTGATTGTCCACAGACTTCTCGGTCAACATTTTAGAAAATCCCTGCTGTGTATTTGTAAATAACATGGAAGGCAAGCTTGAGTTCTCCTGAGAATACTTCATTGCTTCCTTTTGGTGTCTGATGATTGAATTGGTGCTTGTCTCAGCTACCGCCTGTGTGATCCTTCTGAGAGGGCACTGTACAAGTCGTCTCCACTTTTTGGGGCCTATTTTTCGGTGGAAAAAGTTGGAAGTCTGAGAGTTGGCGACCCCGTGTATCGGATGGTGTAGTGGCGGATGCACTAGGATGATATGGTAAGGGGTCAGCTTTGCTTCTGAATACAGTCTTGAAGCCATTGCTGCATTGTCTCGTGTTAATTTTTTTTATGTTATGCTGCTTTAATTATTGAGAGAATGAGCAGTTTTGCATTCTGATCTTTGGAGTCGGAAAATGCCTTAAATTCCATTCCCTGCAGTAGTCTGTACTCCTGCTCCAGCCTTCCCTACCCCTATTTCCCATCAGTGATAAATGGTGATGGAAGAGCCCCAGCTGAAAGACAGGTATATACTCACAGCTCATTACAGAGCAGTATTAAGGAATAGGGAAAGGAAGGTGAGTGATTCTCAAGAGTTATGTATTTATTTTTTCTTTCTCAGATAGAAGGGGAAATATTTAAATTATCCAACATCAACTTGGGGAAAGTGTTTAAATTGAATGCCTTTTATCAAATGTATTTTTAATGTATAATTGAAGTTTGAAAAAAAAATCCATGCATCGCCTATAATCCCAGCACTTTGGGAGGCCGAGGCGGGTGGATCATGAGGTCAAGAGATCGAGACCATCCTGGTCAACAAGGTGAAACCCTGTCTCTACTAAAAATACAAAAATTAGCTGGGCATGGTGGCGCGTGCCTGTAGTCCCAGCTACTCGGGAGGCTGAGGCAGAAGAATTGCTTGAACCCAGGAGCCAGAGGTTGCAGTGAGCCAAGATCGTGCCATTGCACTCTAGTCTGGGTAACAAGAGCAAAACTCCGTCTCAAAAAAAAAAAAAAAAAAATGCATATAGGTGATTCCTGAATCATGAGTTAGGAAATAAGGTTCTCATGTTGATTTCATTGTGCCCAATACAGCCCTGAATCCTGGAGGTAAAAGCCTAACTTCCAAATGAAAGGAATGAGAAAGTTGGTCAGAACACCTCAAGTTGGAGATTTTAAGCAAGTCATCTCATAAAATCCATGACCCACTTCTTAAAGTCACCTCATCTCCAAAACCCTTGACCATCCTTCTCTCTGATTCTGCCCCGGGCTTCTCATGTGTGTTACTTGCCTTTGAAGTCTTTACACCCACAACCTGACTGTCCTTAAGGACAGTGTAACACAGTGGCTTAGCAGGTCTAGATCTAGCATTGGATAGACTTGGGTTTGTAATCCAAGCATCTTCCTAACTTGGTTGAGATGTTAAACTTCTCTTAAAGTCTCAGTGCTCTTATCTGCAAAGTGAGAAAAGTAGTACTTACCAGAACAACCCATAAACGTTATCTTGAGTATATTCACATAAAGTTGCAGCATTGCAGTGCAAAGCAAGTGCTCAGTAAATATTAGCTACTGTTTTTATTGCCATCGTTCCATCATGATACAGTCTTAGGTTCTATAGTGGGTAAAAGATGACACAGGCTTAGCCCTTGAGGTGGGCAAAAAGGAAATACATTTCTATTGACTCCTATTATGACTACGCATTTACAGAACCATAACCATATTTCATCAGATCTGAGATCCTATTCTAACGTCTCTCCTATCTGTCAGCTTCTTATAACATTCAGGATGCCTTTTGAAAAATATCAGTGCTGCATAATATAATAGTACCTCTTATGATTAGTGTATCTTGGATTTGATGAAATACAGTAAGATTAAAACTAGAGAGGAAATTGTGAAACTCCTAAGTGCCTGCCACTTCTAAAAGCCCCATCTGGGGATAGTGGACCCAGGCCTGAGCCATCTAGCGTGAGTGAAACTGATCCTGTATCCTGCTTTTCCAGCCATGATTGACTGGACCTGGATCAGTGTGTGAGCCAAGGGCTTTCACATGTTCTCTGCATCTGTGGGAGCCCAATGGTTGTGAGATACCTTAATGATGGAGGGTTTTCCATATCACTTGGTCACAAACTCACCCGATCAGATCCTGTTGTGCCATGGATGGAGGCAAGGAACATCTGTGGTTCACTCAGTCTCAATTTCCAGTTGTCTCTTCTCCCCAGAAGGCCTTCTATAATCTTTCTCTATGCGAGGATCTCTGTGAGATAGATACGATAATAGGCATTTTATCGATGAGAAACAAAAGCTCAGCGAGCTTAGCTGACGGAAGGCCATGGAGCTGAAGCTATTTAGAGGTAATAGGCCATGTTTTCTACACAGCATTGTCCCATACATTTATATGTGTAACCTTATAAGTGACTGTTCTGTGGGAGTTTGAATTATTTATGAATGGTAGGATAAATCACCAAATCACCAGAGATTCTTATTATTTATTCAGGTTTCAGCAACCAGGAGGGATCGACTGGGACCTTAACAACAGTGGCAACAGTACATCAGCAAATCCTTATTATCCAGCCTTCAACTATCTTTACCCTGGAGAGGAATCTTGATTTTTTGACTTTTCACAGTTGTGTATGCTCCAGGTTAATGCAAGGAAAGGATTAGAGGTGGGAATATGAAGGTATATATGTAAGTTTTAGGTACTGAAGCCTTCAAAAATAGTTAATATCATCAAAAAACTATTTTGGGTGTTATCATGGCTATTATGCTTTTTTACTTCCTGACTTTAATATTGATGAGTAAAGCAAGTTTAATGAATCAACTAAAAAGCTGCAGAAATATTTTTTAAATGTATATCTCTTATTACCTGTCAGTCTATGTTTTAGGAGAAATGGGAAGCAACAGATCACTGTGTCTGGATGAGGAGGACACATGTTACCACACTCACAAATGCCTCATGTTGGTCTTTACACGGCTATGGAGTCCCATTGACTTTTCACTCACGTGCCTTTTACTCTAGCATGGAATCAGGGCTGTGCTTGACTATGGAAATTGTCTTACAGACTTTGCTTTACACTCTTGTCTATCACACCTTTATCAAGCCGTATAAAAGTAACGTGTATGAAATTGCCAGATATACCACCTGAATTCCAAGTAAGATAAAGGAGAGGATGACATTGAAAAGAGAATGGAATTCTGAAAGGAGGAGTGGGAGGAAGGCAGCATGAACATATTTTTTTCAGTGCAAAGAATCTTTTTGTAACAAAGAAACAAAACTATTTTGGTATGACCTGAAGCAAAAAATACTCACTGAAGTGGTCTATAGATGAATTCAAAAATAGTTAATTTTTACTACTTACAATTTTGTGGTTTCTTTGTAAATAATAAACGTGAATTGCAATCCTGCTTTATCTTGGGTGTTTGTGAGTCTTCTTCCTGGGTTTTTCTCTTTATATTAGAACTTGAGGCACGGCAATTTATTTTTCCTTATTCTTTCTGATTGCCTCCAGAGACACAGTCTGACTCCACACACACTGGCTTCTGTCATTGATAGGGGCGAGGGCGTCGTGAGCTGCGGGCACACAGCTGGCCTGTCTGCGGGAGGATGGCCAGTGTCTCCAAGGGACCTTCCTAGTGGTCAGTGAGGAGCAGCTGTTCCCTCCTCCTCCATTTTCCTTTGCTGGGTTCTGGGACTGAAATTCACCACCACTCCCCACACCCTGTGAGGTAAAAGTGGTAAGTGAGCTGTAGCCCTGGGTAAATTCTGGAAGTGATGAAATTGAAAAATTGGAACTTTAAAGTCAACCATTAAAATAGGGAAGCCATTTTCCGCTTAGATTTTCAAAGAGAAAATCAGGAGGGAGATAAACAGAAATGCACAAAATTTGGTGCCCCAGAGCTGCCTTTCTGCCGGAGAATCATGTCCCTTGTCCTGCTGAGCTGTGTCCTTCACAGAGAGGGTGTGACCTGGGGTTGGTACAGAATAGAGAAGAAAAACAGGACAGATAAGTATTCAGGCCAATAAAGACAGAGACTCCCTGAGCACGGAACTGGTCTGCGGTGAGTTGTCAGCTGCAAGAAGACTGTCGTTCTTTTTTCTTAGCAAACTCTCGCTTCTCTCATCCAAGGCACCCTTGCCCTGCATGGACAATTCTGGCTGAGTCTTGAAACGTACACTCATGGTTCAGGGGACCGTGGCTGAGCTGGGATGACACCGAATCCCCTTGACCAAACTTCGGTCTTATCTGAGCCATCTTTTTCATGAGGCCTTGAACTTGTCACCCTCCTCCCTTGCAGAGCCCAATTTTAGCCAGAATCCTGCTTAGTCAGTTTCAGGAGTATTCTCCCATCCTTAATATCTGATCACCCTTGATGTCCATTCAGATTCCTCATCTGTCACCTTCAGTGTGTAAGTCCTTGCCTTGTTCAGAATCCCTGTTAAGTGGGTTTATCAAGAATCCTCTACACTTGATTCTCCTCTTAGTGATTTTCCATTCACTGACCCCGAGGAACTTTGCTCCTTGGCTACAAATCCTTAGCTATCTTTGCTGTACTACAGAGTTGAGTCCAATCTCTTTCCCCTGTTGGGATGCCCTCGTTGCAATAGCCTTGAATAGTCTTTCTTATCTTTTTAACAAGCGTCTGTGTAATTTCTTTCTTTAAAAGCTTGGTACACCAAACAGGAGCCTGACTCCTAAACCACCTTGTTCGGGGTAGTCTGACGTTGTTTGGAGTATAACCTGATTTGGAAATGACAAGTGACTGAGGTGAGTGCCTGCAGGACCAAGTGGCATTGCCTCACGGTGGAAGCAGCTGAAAACCTTGTGAAGTGCTAACCTTTTGAGCCAAGGCCCTTGCCAAAGCAGCTCTAGTTCGAGGTTCCTCTAGGGAGGCGTCGAGCAGCCCCGGCCGCGTAGGAGGCGCTGTCAGACGCTCATTGCCGCTCCGAGCTGCCGCTGGGAGAACTCTGGCCTCGGCTTGCTGGCGGGAGGGCCTGGTAGCATCCTCCTCCTTCAGACCCTCACTCTCTGGAAGCTTCCTAGCCCCTGGGCAGCCTGCGGGGAGGGCGGCGGCAGCAGATGGCTGGACACTGCACAAGCGGGGCGACCCGCTCCCCGATATTTCCAGGAGAGGCTGCTGCCCGCTGCCTGATTTCTAATTTCAAAATCACGCGTTGTCCTGCAAATGTTGTATATTGTCTATTTTTGGTCAAAGAACCCCATGAATACATAAATAAATAATTGGTTACTTGCAGCAATCGTGGGGGAGGGCACAGCGCCCTGCTGCTGCAGGCGACGAAAGGTGGCAGAGGCAGCGGGGCGCAGACCACGTGGAAGCTGAGCCACCGACTCCCACGGCCTGCGCCTTCCCCCAGAAGGACGCAGTGCACTGATTGGCCCGGAAGGGTTCAGGAGCTGCCCACCCTTTGGGCTTGGGGCCAAAGGCCAAACCTCCCCCAACCCGCGGCCCGGGGCAACCAGTGCGCTCCTGGCCCCGCCGCCGCCACCTCGCCGAGGAGCCAGCCATGAGCGCCACGGGCTCCTCCGCGCTGGCCCGCTTTTTCCTCCTAGCGCAGCTCCGGCCCGGGTGGCTCCGGGTCGCCGCGCTGGGACTGGCAGCTGTGGCCCTGGGGGCTGTCGCCTGGCGCCGCGCTTGGCCCAGGTGGCGGCGGGGGCGGCGGCTGCAGCAGGTGGGCACCGTGGCGCAGCTCTGGATCTACCCGGTGAAATCCTGCAAGGGGGTGACGGTGAGCGAGGCGGAGTGCACGGCCCTGGGGCTGCGCAGCGGCAACCTGCGAGACAGGTACGGCCCAGCGTGGGGACCATGCGGCGCCAGCTCGGCTCGGGTACAGGGGTGAGAAGGGAGGAGCGCAGGGGAGGTCTGCAGAGTCTGCCGACAGCTCCTTCCACCCATTACAAAGCAACTGGGAGCTGGGTGAGACAAGGCCAAAGAGGAAAAGGAACCCTCAGTCCCTACAGCAGACCCCGGGGCTCTGGGACTCGGAGCACGTGGACCCGCTTTCCTGGAGTGGGCGGATTTCCACCTCCCACTGGCTCTTTGGCGTCATGTGCTCCTGCTGAGGTGTGGTGTCCTCCCAGGTGTCTGCCAAACTTCTTAATCTCCATGTAGCGGTGGCGGTCAGTTTAAAGGGATTGGTTCCTGGTCGTTTTATTTTGAGTGACTTTCTTGAGATCTTGGGGAAAGCTCTACAGAGTCCTCATTATAGTAATGACAGCAGTTGAACGAATTCCTTCTTGCAGCATAAAAGGGGCCATTGGCCGGGCGCGGGAGCTCACGCCTGTAAGCCCAGGACTTTGGGAGGCCGAGGCTGGTGGATCATGAGATCAGGAGTTCGAGACCAGCCTGACCAATATGGTGAAACCCTGTCTCTACTAAAAAAAATTTTTGTATATATATATACAAAAATTAGCTGGGTGTGGTGGCGTGTGCCTGTAGTCCCAGTTACTCAGGAGGCTGAGGCAGGAGAAGCTCTTGAACCCGGGAGGCGAAGGTTGCAGTGAGCCGAGGTCACGCCAGTGCACTCCAGCCTAGGTGACAGAGACTCCATCTCAAAAAATAAAATAAAAAATAAAATAGAAATAAAAATAAAATAAACAGAGGGCCATTGCAAATGCCATTTTCCTCAATTCTCTCCAGCACTCTTGTGGATAAAGAAACTGAGTTCAGAGCCACACAGCAGTGGGACCAGGACTCTTACTTTCTTTAGCACACTGGGGCGTTGTGAAGAGTGATTTTGTTAATATCTTGTCTGGGTTTTCAATGCTGCGTAAATTCCTGGGGTTCAGCGAAGGTTGTAAAACCCGGGAGCCAGTGGCTTTGTCCTCTTTGGGGTCTGGCTTCAGACCAGCTCTGGGACTCATTGTGAGGCTACACTTGAAACTCTTTTCCAGAGCAGTCCTCACAGCTCAGCAAGTGACAGAGGACTGATGGGAGCTGTAGCCTTTCTTCTACCAGCTCCCCAGAGAGAGAGCAATTCATGACATAGTTGAAAGGTGATGAATGCGTACATCTTTGCTTCAGGAAGGAAGCCAAGAATCCTAAATATTCCCTGTTTTCTATAGAAGGCTCTGAAAAGTGATATAATTTACTGAATTAGTTTTCGTAGGCCCCAGAGGCAAAGGGCACTGGCATTTTACTACATAGATTAAAAAGCAGTTTTTGAGCTCATATTATGATAGATGGTAGGAAGAGCTGGCCTTTGTAACAGACACTATGATAAATGCTTTATTTTCGTCATCACACACTCCCAAAAAGTGTGACCAACACTGGCTTCAGTCCTAGGTGATAACCGACTAAACAGAGGTTTTGACAGCGCCAGGGAGCATAGAGGGCGCAGTGCTGGAAGCTGGCTGGGGCCGTCAGGGACAACTTCAGAGAGGAAGTAACAGCTTGAGCTAAAACCAGGGAAGTGATTCAGAACTTGCTGGGTTAAGTTAGGAGAAGAACTTTCTAGAGAGGGAATAAGCTGAGCAAAGGTACTCGGCTTGAGAGGATGGGGTATTCTGGGGGAAAGCTGGGGACTCTATGCCAGGTGGGGGGTTCCAATCTTTTGGTTTCCCTGGGCCGCATTGGAAGAATTGTCTGGGGCCACACAGAAAATACACTAACAATAGCTGATGAACTAAAAAAAAAAAATCACAAAAAAACTCATAATGTTTTAAGAAAGTTTATGGATTTTCAAAGCTGTCCTGTGCCACACATCGCCACACACTGGACAGGCTTACTCTAATGTATTTACCAAAAGGAACTGGGACATAAATAGGATGAATGTTCTTTGCAGCATTGAATGTTGAATGTTCATTATGATGTTATTCACAAAAGGTGGCAACAACTCCAGTGTCCATTGATGGATGAGTGGGATAAGCAACATGTGCGATATACACACAATGGAATATTATTCAGCCACGAAAAGGAGTCAAGTTCTGATACGTGCTGTAACATGGATGGCCCTGGAAAATATAATGCTAATTGAAACAAGTTAGACACAAAAGGACACATATTGCATGATTATGGTTATATGAAATGTCTAGTAGATAAATTCATGGAGACAAAGTAGATTAGATGTTACCAGGGACTAGGGGAAGGGGAAAACGGGGAGTTATTGCCTAATTGGTACAGAGTTTCTGTTTGGGATGATGAAAAGGTTTTGCAAATAGTGGTGATGGTTGCACAACACTGTGACTGTACTTGATGCCGCTGAATTGTACACTTCAGAAACGGTTAAAGTCATGTTTAAAAAATTCCGTTCTCTTGGGCTGTTTCTACCTTTTTGCATTTTGAATAAAGCCGCAGTGAACACTGATAATGCACATGTCTGTCTGAGTTCCTGTTTTCAATTCTTTTGGGTCTATACATAGGAATATGCCAGGTATTTTATGTTATATATGTTTTACTGCCATTAAAATAAATAAGTATATAACAGGCTGGTCTGTGTGAAGACCTGGGGAGGTGAGAATGGCTAGAGCAGCCCCTGGATCATGAAGGGCTGTGCGTGCCTTGCTTAACAGTTGGTTTTATCCTGAAAGCAGGAACCGTGGAGAGATTGTGAATGAGGGGTGATAAAGTTAGATTTGCATTTTAGAAAGATCTAAACTGCCGTTACCAGGAAGAATATTAGAGAGAATATTCACCTGCTGGTCCCAAGGAATTGGGGGCAGGGGAGGCCTCTGTGTGTGTGGAAGCAAAGTCTGCTAAAAGGGCAGGTAGGGAAAGGACTTATACTAAGGCTGGTTTTCTAGTGTAGCTGAGCAACTCAACCATGATACCCTGCTGGAGTGATGCAGGAAATATCTTGAACGATCTAAAGTATCTGCCGTACTTTTTCTTACGTCTGGAAATCTCAAAAGCACACGCTTATTTCTGTAATGCAATCATTTGATCACTGTGTACTGAAATCATTGAAATGCCAGTATGTTTTGCTTCCTTGGTAGCTGAGAGATAACCTACAAAAATGTGTTCTTCTTGTTCTGGAACTGGCTCTCTCTATTGCCCTCATTTCTCCATTTCTCTCTTTTCTAGCAACTACCTGTACACGAGTAGGTAGTTTCTAGAAAAAAGAAAAATGGAGAAATGAGGGCAATACTGGGCCAGAAACAAAATACTGTCTCATTTAGCAAACTACAGAATGCACAGCACTGAATATTGAAGCATAACAATTTTTAAAAGGTGGGGGAGGTGGAACTGGCAGAGTGTAAGTGGCACTGTACATTGCTCAGCTAAACTCCATGCTCTGTGAACTATATATATGAGCAACAATCCTGCTCTTTCCATTGACGAGAGCCCACTGCCCACCTGGTCTACCTGGTGCCAGATCCTGTGTTTCCTCCTGCCCTTAAAGTCTTCCTGTAAAATCGATTCTTGTCATCTGCTCGAGGCATGTTTGGTGAAAGCGATCAGGCTTTCTGGAGATTGAGATGAAAATACAACGAACATCTTTGGTTTCTGGGCCATCAAGGAGCTCAAACTGTTCCGCAGATATATGTTGGATGCTTGAGTGGTTATTAAACCCTTTGAAATTAAGCGACAGACTCAGTCCTGCTGGTTTGATGTTTAGGACAGACACACACACTCAAACTCCCACACACCAGGCTTATGGGGAAGAAATCAAAGAGGACATCAGTGTCTAATTGAAGCTCCCCCTGAGTCTGGCTTCCTGTCATAATGGTTCACACATATCCTGTGTTTTGAAAATGACAGGTTTTGGCTTGTGATCAACCAGGAGGGAAACATGGTTACTGCCCGCCAGGAACCTCGCCTGGTCCTGATTTCCCTGACCTGTGAAGGTGACACCCTGACTCTCAGTGCAGCCTACACAAAGGACCTGCTACTGCCAATCAAAACGCCCACCACGAATGCGGTGCACAAGTGCAGGTAAGGGAGGGGCAGGCCTTAGCCCTTGTGTGAATAAACAGTCATGCAATTTTGAGAAAGCACAAACTCCAGAGGGAATCTTGAGAAACATTTCAACAATGAACCATGGATTGCGTGAGTACCACATGCAGGGCCAAATCCTCAACATTATGGAGATCTAAAGGTAGGAGAAAGAAGGAAGCAGCTTCAGAAACTTGTGTTGTAGAGATGATAGACGTGAAAGTGCTATGTAGAAAACCGTGAGAACAAAAGCAAATTGACATCTCAGCTGGAGAAAAATACTACCACCCAAAGATCGAGCACAAAAATGGGGTTGGAGTGGTGGGGGCCAGTGTCCTAGCAGAGGTGGCGATTCCATCTTTGTATTCTCATAGAAGTTTTCTTACTTTGCTTGGAAAAAGTGGGAACTTTCTAAATCTGAGTTAGGAAAGGAGTTGCAAATGGCGATTTAGTTCTGCTGAAAGGAAGTTCCAAAATAAGAAAGAGCAGCTGCAGCTGGAAGAGTGATCTGGCCAGCGGCTGCCCAGGGGTCAGTGTCAGACTGAGTGCAGCCCAGAAGCGTGTTCTATACAGAAGCCCTACCCTCAAATCAGAAGGGCTGCAACGAGGCAATTCTTCTGGGAAAACTAGCTTTGCCTCTAAGCAGTCATGTCTAAAGTTGATTTCTTGTCTTATTATGGGAAAATTAAAGTCCGTCCAGTTATCTTCTTGTTATAGTTTCCGCATATGAAATAAAAATGCAGCGTGAATGTTACATGTAGTTTATAGCCTATCATAAAAAATAGTATCACCTCAAAAAATGTAGTCATCTGAAAAATGTCTAAAGACATTGAGAAGTTCATAAAATGTAATACTGATACAATTTCTATGTTTTAGAGTTTTAAACATGATAATATAATTTTATTGAATTTGGTGGTTTTTCAGATGATAAAAGTAGTACATATTCATTGTTGAAAAATTGAGAAATACCAAAAAAAAAAAAGAGAGAAAGAAACAAAAACTATCTGTGGTCAGGTATGGTGGCTCATGCCTATAATCCCAGAACTTTGGGAGGCTGAGACAGGCGGATTACTTGAGGTCAGGAGTTCAAGACCAGCCTGACCAATATGATGAAACCCTGTCTCTACTAAAAATACAAAAATTAGCCAGGCTCGGTGGCATGCCCCTGTAATCCCAGCTACTTGGAAGGCTGAGACAGGAAAATCACTTGGATTTGGGAGGCGGAGGTTGCAGTGAGCCGAGATCATGCCATTGCACTCCAGCCTAGGCAACAAGAGCAAAACTCTGTCTTAAACAAAAAACAAACAAACAATTATCTGTGATAACTGTAATTAATATTATGGCATGTTTTCTTTCTGTCTTTATGTCTACTATTTTAAAACCAAATTGAAATAATACAAAAAAAGCCCCCAAAGCCTTGAATATTGTTTATATACTTAAATTGATATGTTGAGTATTTTTTCATATTGTTAAAAAATCTTCAAGGATGCCATTTTTCACGTTGGCATATTTCATTTTGTGGGTATCATCTAGTGCATTTTAACCTGGCCCATGATTAAACATTTTGATCGTCTTAATTTTTTTCCCGGTATGAAGAATGTGATGACTATCTTGGCGTAACTCATTGTTCATATCATTTGTCATTTCATAAGGGAAAAAGTTCTAGCAGTAGTTTTGTTTGAAATAAGAATATGGATTCTGTAGGCTTTTTTTTTTTTTTTTTTTTTTGAGATGGAGTTTCCCTCTTGTTACCCAGGCTGGAGTGCAATGGCGCGATCTCGGCTCACCGCAACCTCCACCTCCTGGGTTCAGGCAATTCTCCTGCCTCAGCCTCCTGAGTAGCTGGGATTACAGGCACGCATCACCATGCCCAGCTAATTTTTTGTATTTTTAGTAGAGACGGGGTTTTACCATGTTGACCAGGATGGTCTGGATCTCTTGACCTCGTGATCTACCCGCCTTGGCCTCCCAAAGTGCTGGGATTATAAGTGTGAGCCACCGCGCCCGGCCTCTGTAGGCTTTTGATACATCTTGCTAAATTGTTTGCAGAATGGTTTTACCAACTGCGTTTTAACCATTGTGTTAAAAAATATTTTGCCATTTTTATGGTCAAAAATGATAATTTCTTGTTAATTTAATTTGCATTTTCCCCTGAATGAGGTAAGCTTTTAAGTATTTCTATTGTAGTTTATAGTCATATTTGCCCATATCCTGGTTTATGCTTATTTGCCATGGTTAGATACTTACCCGTATTTTCCTATAGTTAATTTTTTTGTTTAATTTTTCATTTATTTGAAATTGTGTGGAAACTTTTTTCACAGTCCCATATGGGCATTTGGTTCATGCCCAAAAGACTAAACAAGGGTATGCTTGGAAATTGCAGAATGAAAAGGCTTAGAATGCTACAGTAGTATACAGACTCTTCGAGCAAAGATTCCAGGGATCTTCTGAATTCAAGTTTCTTTTGACAACCCAACCTATCCTCTTATGTGGGAGTTGTAATCTCAGCCCACAGTTTCCTAAAGATTTCTGATGAGTTCTTGGGGCTCTGGAGCCATTTTCAGAAGGTCGTGATCAGTGGCGGTACACCTGTTTTCGTGGTCAAAGTTGTTACTTGACCTTCTCACAAGCCTTGCCTGCTACTAATAAGACACAGAGAATTAAGGCCTTTTGCTATGGATTATTCAGGCAAACTACCTCAAACCTCACACCACCTCACACCATGCCTGCATTATCTCTGTCAGAGGGTCAAAAGTTATCGGAGCATTTGGAATTTTATTTTATTTTTGCTTGCACTCCCTGGGACAGTGTGCAGGTGGAGTGCTGGGGCCAAGATACAGCAGAGGCCAATCAGAACTCAGGACAGATGTGGAAGGAGCAGGAAGAAGACAGAACAAATTCTATTCGTTGAATAGAACCTCAAGTTCTGAGTGACTATGAATCTGAACCCCAGGATCTAGGAGTACAGGTTGCAATGGAAATCAGTGTCAGATTAACTGGGCCGATGTTTAAATAGCCCAATATAGATGCAAATGCTTTGACTTTGTAAAACTAGCCGTTGCCAACTGAAGCCCTAAGGAGTCAAGGCAGCCTTCCTGTCCACCTCCTTTGCTGCGTGCCCCGCCACCCTCCTGGGCTGCCGAATGGCAGGTTGAGACTGAGAGGGTGCCTCGATGGGCTGTAAGAATTTGACTCAGGGGAAAGGAGACTGACTTTTTTTTGCATAGGCACCAGCAACGATGCATCTAACAAGGAGATGACCTTCAAGGCTGTCTCCATACATAGATTTTTGGTAATGCTGCTATTTCACAAGACGCTTCTGAAATTAGTGTTTTAGACATTAAACCGCACACACACACACATAGATGCTAAGCCCCTCAAATACACTTAGTTCTAGAACTGGTGAATTTGATTTTTGGGAGAAGTAAAACAATTATTTGGAGCTAAACCCTGTGAGTAAGAAGACAATCAACCTAAATAGGACCATTTTTTTTTTTGTTTAAAAAATGAAATTAGGCTTAAAAATTGTAATAAGCAGATATGATTAATATTAGCTTAGAACGGTTACTTCCCAAGGTGACTGCTCTGGAAGGTAATATCCACTTGGGTGTATGAATTTGGGTATGTTTATTTTATTCATTTTATTTATGTTTTATTTTGATCCAGAAAAGACAGACACTCCTGGTATTTGTAAATGGTCTCATTACTCCATAGGCCTTGCGTATATATTTCAGCCCTCCGATGCTCAGGAGGTCAGTTTAGGATGGGTGGGATGGCAGATGGCAGTGTGTGAAAAGGCATCAAGCCATGTACTACAGCAGTACACTTTTCTACATGAGTGCTATACTTCTATAAAAAGCTCTAAAAAATTTAAGAAAACTTTGAATACACTAATCTCACTGCTTAATGTAACCCAGACACTCTTAGTAATAATTTCTCATTTTAGATAAAAAGCAATAAAATAATAGAAAAATATTTAGGATACTATACTCAATATATTTTACAATATAAAACTCCATTTATACATTATTAGTAGAGAATTGGTACTTATATTCGATTAAATGTTTGATTTCTGGAGTAACTATACAAAGCTTGAAATAACTTGGGTGGGGACTGTCAGTCATTGCTACTACCTACTGAGTGTAACCCAGCCCTAAGAATTGTTTGGGAACTCCTGGACTGTTCTAATCTTCACAACAAAGTTGTGCTTCTATCCCCATTTTATTGATAAAGAAACTGTATCTCAGAATAAGAAACTATCACCAAGGCCGTGGAGCTAGTCATTTGTGGAAATGCCCACCAGGCAGATTTACTTGATGTCCTAGCTTTCTCAGACTTCAGGCATTTGTCCGCCATGACAGGGGACAAACCACAAGCCACCTGTGCTCTTAGTCACTTAATATTTTTCTTTAAATTGATTCAGTTTAAAAACTTGTCTTAAATACATTTATTTAAAAAGGAACCTTTATATGGCTTTCTATATAATTTGCCAGGCATGTGGCCTTATATGGCTTTCTATATAATTTGCCAGGCATGTGGCCTTATATGGCTTTCTATATAATTTGCCAGGCATGTGGCCTTATATGGCTTTCTATATAATTTGCCAGAAGGTAACAAACACTCAGGGTACTAAAACATTACTTTGCCTACAGAAGTCTCTGAACCTAACGTGTGTTCTTTCTTTGTTAAAAGAGGTGATTATCAAGTGTTGCTAAAAGGTAGAGGTTTATTACCATGAAACTGAAAAGAATCACTTTCTCTCTGTGCAATTCACTGTTATTTAATGCTGTACCCAGATGCCACCTACAGTTATCTTGAAAGCCAGCAGTGGTAATGGTCCTGCACTTTGTGAAACACTGGCCTCACCATATCATTTTCCTCTCTATAGCTGTGAAATTCATGTAACATCAAACAGCCCTGCACACAACTATGTGCTAAAGACCAGGAACTTCAAATCCTACAAAATAATTACTAGCAATCAAATCCAGTAGGTGATTATTGTCATTATTACATAGACTATTATTGTTAGTTTGATTTATGTAGCATTATTATCTGTAATGTTTTAGACTGTATAGAACATTTCACGTTGTTGCTATTACTATTCTGGCAAAGTATAGCCAGGTCTGTGGATAAAGATTTCTGGTCACTATTCAGCTGGGTGAACCAGATTTTGCAGTAATTCTGAGTTTAATTATTTATTTATTTATTTTTGAGATGGAGTTTCGCCCTTGTTGCCTAGGCTGGAGTGTAATGGCATGATCTCGGCTCACTACAACCTCTGCCTCCCAGGTTCAAGTGATTCTCCTGCCTCAGTCTCCAGAGTAGCTGGGATTACAGGCATGTGCCACCATGCCTGGCTAATTTTGTATCTTTAGTAGAGATGGGGTTGGTCAGGCTGGTCTCGAACTCCCGACCTCAGGTGATCTGCCTGCCTCGGCCTCCCAAAGTGCTGGGATTACAGGCATGAACTGCTGCGCCCAGCCTGTTTACTTTATAATGACGTATTCGTTTTCTTCTGGAGAACTCAGTACATTTTCAAATATTTCATTTCATCCTCCCTGCATTCCTTCCAGGTAGGGAGACACAGCTATACATCACTTAATTTTTAAAATGGAGAAAGCAAGGCTTAAAGGGGTGCTTTCATTTTCATGTGGGCTTATGCAGGTTTGTAGGCAGGCCCAGGACTAAAATGACATCTTCTGGTAATTAAGAAATGACAGTAATGTCGCAGCCAGGAGCAGCTTTTCTCATCTATCTGGGACATGTTAGGGTGCTCAGATTTTCAAAGCCATGCCTACCCTTTGCCCCTGCCATCCCTGCAGAGTACACAGCCTGGAGATTGAGGGCAGGGACTGCGGTGAGGCCGCCGCCCAGTGGATAACCAGCTTCCTGAAGTCACAGCCCTACCGCCTGGTGCACTTCGAGCCTCACATGTGGCCGAGACATCCTCACCAAACAGCAGACTTGTTCCGGCTCAAAGACCAGGTGAGAGGCTCGGGCTGACTCCATGGGTGGAAAGCAGTTGCCCCCAGCCCGGAGGGGCACAGGTGACATCTCTGATGACCTTGGCTCTGTTTTCAGGGCAGCTGTCTGGTAGCTCAGATCACAAGCAGTAGGCAGAAATAAAGCCCTTTCCTTGGAAGTGTTGTTTCTTCATATGGGGGACTCTTCAATTTTTGCCCTTGAGCATCTAGCTTCCTATTTGTGGAAGCAGTTCTGGTGCCAGGAGGGATTCCAAACTCTTCTGCACCAGTGTCTTTTTAAAATCCCATTCTGTAATTGTACATGGAATCCAGAAATGTTACAGTTTGCAGTTGAATCTCAGATTCCAGTTGTGCGGGTTGGCGTGGGTATGGAGATGCACAGGCTGAAATGATCAGCCTTAATGGCATAGAGCTGTAACGATTCATCATACAAGCAGGGTTCACAGCACCATATACTGCTTTTACCGTCACCGTAAAAAAATTAGGCTGTAGTCCTTGCTACTAAGGAGGCTGAGGTAGGAGGATGCTCGAGCCAGGAGAGTGGAGGCGGCAGTTACCTGTGATGGCGCCATTGCACTACAGCCCGGGTGACAAAGAGACCCTGTCTCAAGATAAATAAATAGATGAGCAAATGCATAAATTATGGTCAACATAAATATTAATTTGTAAGTTGCATACAAATAAGTATCCATGGAATTAGTGAACATTTAAATCAAACATAATGAGGTCATCAAACTCAACCACCTTATGAAACATTTAAGAAATTGGAGGCTGAGAAAGGTGCAGTGATATCCCCAAGGGCACATGCATCATGGCAGCTCTAGGATTGAAGTTGAGTCCTTGTTCCTTTCCACCATGCAGTTCCTGCTATCTACCAGGCTATTTAAAGCTTCTGAGTCACTGTGACTTCTATTAAAAGAACTAGAGAAATACTTTGAAACATTCTGTGTGAGGTGGGGTGGAGTGTGCAGGGTATTCCTAAGAGCTAAGCACACCTAACCCCTGAAAAGGTGCTGTGCTACAATATGACCATATCTATTTCCTTAGCAGATTGTTTACTCTGACGCCAGTCCATTCATGATCCTTTCCGAGGCGTCGCTGGCGGATCTCAACTCCAGGCTAGAGAAGAAAGTTAAAGTAACCAACTTCAGGCCCAATATTGTAATTTCAGGATGCCACGTCTATGCAGAGGTAAGATGCGTCCCTTTGCATCTTTCCTTGGATTTGACTTCTTTTTCAGGGTATTAGAGTCTTTGACAGTGGATTAGATGATTCCGAACAAGGCATTATTTATTGACTCTGGAATACACAGCAATTTGATCTTTAGGTTTATTGAGCACCTAGTGAGTGCAGACTTCTGTGTGGAGGATACAAATATTGATGAGTCAAGACTGTCTTCAGGGAGGCAGTTCAGGACCTGAGGCTTCTAAGGAGAATTCTGAGTTGGCAGATTCGTTGTTGAGCTGAATTTGTTTACACAGACTACATGGTCGATGTGGCTCACGGAACAAAGTGTGGGCTCCTGTCTTGTGAAAGGACGGTCTTCCTGTTTAGCAGACGGCTCCCTAGGAGAAGACAGGCGTTTACTGCATGGCTGCTGGGTGGGGTGGGAGAGGTTGTTGCTCCTAAGCTTGATGGCACTGCCCCAAAACACTTGCAGTGGCGCCTTCCATCTGCCCTCGATGTCTGCATGGTGACTTAGTCTGCACAGCCCTGAGGCTTGCTTTCCAGGATTCCACGTGATTCTGGCAGCAACTTTACCTTTGTAATAAATAGCCTCAGCTGTTTAACCTGATTCTCTCCCTGGGCTCCGAGGAAGGCAGAGGTTGGTGGCCTAGAGGCTTGGTGAGTGCCCACCAGCTGTGGATGCTCAATAGAAGCCCTGGCCCCCAGCTAGGAATTCAGGAGCTCTGGTTATGCCTCATGTTTATGTTGAGAGGGGAGAGGTAAAGGGGACAACATAATGATTCTTATGTCTGCCCATTTCCTACGCAACAGGGAAAAACGGAGTCAAAGCAATTGAGTTTTATTTAACGTTTTATACTCAGGCGAACCAATTCTGTTCTTCACTTTTGTTGTACGGAGGCAAAACTCTGCTGAAAGAGAAGTAATCTAAGAATTTGATTCCCACATTCAGACCAGAGGATGTGGCGCCTGGTCTCAGCTTCCGTGTTGGCTTCTCACGCCTTTGAGCAGCCCCACCAAGTCCCATTTTCCTTGCCTGAACAATGAGGCGATCATATTTCTGCCTATAGTAACCTTAAAGGTCTGTTGAAGGATCAATTTGGATAATGTAATTTACGAGATGTACAAAGACAATGTCAGCTGATGGAAGATAATAAAAGTACGCCTAAATCCAACTCTAATGCTTTAAAATACTCATTGCTCCAGCCTTCCAAGGGTGGCGTTTCTTCTAAAGATGGCAGATAACTTTGTACTGTGAGGTGGGTGAACCGTGTCCGATCCCCCACGGTCCTGGGTTGGGCATGTCTAGGTGCTTCTTTGTGACAAGGGAGCTCTGCACGTCCTGCTCCTGGGCGTGGAAAGGCACACCTTGGCTTAGACAACAGGAAAATGATCAGTGATTGGCTTCACCATCTGCTTTGATTCATCTTCCCACCAGCTATGGCCAGGAGAGCCATTTCTCCCAAGAGCATTCCTTCTCAGGAAAGGAGAAATGAGTGCGGAGGGTTTTTAAGGAATACTTGTGTTGCACTTAAGCATGTTGTCCCTTCTGGGCCTCACAGCAGCCCAGCAGGGTAAAGTTACCTTTTCCATCTCACAGGAGAGAAGAGAGAGGCTTGGGGGGGCGAGGTGGCCTGCCTAGATTATACCACAGCAATGAGGGGCTGGGTTTTGGACCCCGACTCTATAAGGCCAGAGGAACTCTGAGAATTCTAGGGGATATGTATGGGGCTGGGATAGCTGGATTCTAATCCGCCTGCTTCAGCAAGTGACCGTACAAGCCTGGACAGGTCACTGAGCCCGCCGAGGCCTCCGCTTCCTGCAGTTGTAAAACATGAGCAATTTCAATGGGTCCCTCGCCTGATGGGAACTGTGAGAATCAAGGTCGAGGACAACGCGTGGAGAAGTCGTAGGACATTAAGTACCGCAGAGGGGTAAGGAAGAGTTCATTCCTGGGAGCTTGGCTCAGGTAGCACTTTTCTCCCCATGATTGACGTTAAGCTTTCGTTCCCCCCGGTGTGGTCTGTGCACTGAGGGTCATGCTGAAGTCATTTCCACTCCAGAATTCTGTGACAGTAAGATTCGGATGAGAGGAGAGGAGGAGATGGCACAGAGCAGAACTTCAGATCTCCGAGAGTTCTTTCAGTTGACTCTTACTCTAAAATCCTGAATCTCTGTCTATCTCTGAGTGTTTCCTAATTGAGCACATTCTGTATGTGGAGTTGGGCAGTGACACAACGGTGGCTGAGTCAGGCTGGTTTTTAGTAATTCTCTCATCAGCTAGTGGGTTGCTGCCCCTGTGTGGATGCGCTGTGAATAGACATGTGGGAACAAGGATTGAAGAAACACACTTGATTCTCCTAAGGAGCTCAGGGTGGTCAGAGAGTCAACAAGCAATCACAGCCCAGTGAGCTGTGACCAGGAGGGTGGCGAGCAGCCAGCCATGGGGATGCGACTAATGCCTGCGGTGCGGGGGGAGCTGAAGCCTGGGGCACCCAGGGCTCCGGGCTCAGACCCTTTCTCATCGCACTCACTTTTCTGATCTGTTCTTTCTTTTCTTTTTTTTTTAAATCATCTGTTTTCAAAACCTTCTCTGCCCTGAGGACGCCAATGATACCCTTCCACCAGAGCTTTCCCCTGCCTTCTCCATATCTGCACGTGGATGTCAAATCCAAGCTCGGGATGTCTGAAATTGAGGGTCGGGTTTCACCCCAAGCCTGCTGTGCCCGTCTCGCCCGGCTCAGCACTCAGCAGCTCTGACTTCTGCTGCCTCGGGCTCCACACTGCAAACCACCCTTTGTTCTTCCCTTTCTCTCACATCCCCTTTTCCTGGTGGCTGGGCCCTCCTCCCCGCTCGCCTCTCTCCCTGGACGCAGTCACCGCCGGTGCTGCAGCAGCCGGGTTCACTGGTCTCCCTGCCCTGTCCTTGCCCCAGCCCTGCTACTATCCACGGGTTGTTCTCAGCACATCCGTCAAGGTAACCCTGCTGATGTGAGTAACGTCACGTGATTCTTCCACTCAAAGCCTCTCGGGGTTCTCCACCTTTCTTCAAGTAAAAGATGGGGTCCTTATGGATGGCCTTGAGGGCCTAACATGACCTGCACCCTGCCAGCTCCCGGCTGCCAGCTTCTCTCACTCCCCTCTGCAGTCTCTCTGCCCCAGCCATACTGGCCTCCTTTCTGTGCCCCGGCCGGGTCCTCTGCCTGGCATACCTTCCCTCACATGCCTCATGGCTCCAGTGCCTCTTTCACGCCCTGCTGTGGGCTTCATTGACCCCACTCACCCAGCCCCCCACAGCACATCATACCCATCATATCCCCATCTAACAAGCCGTGTGCACTGAGGTATTAGTGTATTGTCTGTTTCCCCTATGCTTGCAAGCTCCTTGAAGACAGGGCTGCTATAGATCCAGCCCCTAGAGGAGCCCCTGGCACATAGTAGGTGCTCATTAATTATCTGTGACATGAATGACCAGATTGGTATTGTCCAGGAGAAGGGGGAGCACTGAGGGAGGGGTGCATACACAGGGCTATGAAGGCACGAGAAAACAGCCACCTCACAGGGCTCAGGAGAGGAAGGGAGCTGAGAGCACAGGTATTTGATGTCAGGTTTTGGGGGGTCTGGGAAGGATTTTTGGCCAGGGAGTGACAGAATCCGACTTATATAATACACAGTTGCCTCTGTCAGGAGCCTGGAGAAGGATTAGAGCAGGCAGGGCCAGCATGCGGAGGAGGAGGCTAGCATGGAGGAAGGCCGAGGACCTGCACAGAAGCTTCTGGAAAGCAGACCCACTCCTCGTCTTGGAACCTACCTTCTCTGCACTTTTCTCTGCTTCACTGAATCATCTGCACTCCTCACACTCAGTTCTTACACCTCGCTTCTCCCCAAAGCCACAGTTGATACCCACCCCACCTGCAACAGTCAGTGACCTTTTCCGAGTCACCACCACCCCACTCTGAGGACCCATGGGCGCTACTGACTGAAACGTTTCTCCTTTGGCACAACAGCCCTTCCTTCTCTGCTGTTTGTCCTTGTTCCTTACTTCCAGAAGTTCTAGCCTTGACCCTTTTCTCTCCCCTTCTTGGTGATCACTCTATCTCCTGTGGCGTCACCCTCTATCACCCCACATATGTCCCTCAAATGCCCATCCTGAACTCCCTCTGGAGTGCTGGACCACAGTTCCAATTCTCTGTTGGTTGACGGAGAAACTGGGACTTACGTGCTCCCTCCCTAGCTCCTACACTCTCACCCCACCTCTCCAAACTCATTCTTTCTTCTTTTGTTGAAACAGTGTCCACTCTGTCACCCATGCTGGAGTGCAGTGGCATGATCTCAGCTCACTGCAACCTCCACCTCCCAGAATCAAGCAATTCTCCTTCCTCAGACTCCTGAATAGCTGCAATTACAGGAGTGCGCCACCACACCCGGCTAAGTTTTGTGTTTTTGTTAGAGATAGAGTTTTGCCATGTTGGTCAGGCTGGTCTCTGACCTCAGGTGATCTGCCCCCTTGGCCTCCCACGGTGCTGGGATTACAGCCCCGAAACTCCTGTTGGCTTCACAGTTTCTATCAGGGCAGCATGCTTTTTCTTTCACCCAGGCTCAGAGTGACAGTCGGCCCTGGCTCCTCCTCTGCTGTCTTCCTCCCAGCCCCAGCCACGTCTGCTCCCCTTTCTGTTCTCAGCCACCAGCCATATCTGACCTTTGCTACTTTAAGTTTGGACTGCTGAGTGCTCCCTCTTGAGCGTGGCCACAGCCAAGCCTCCCCGAGCTGATCAGCGTGATCTCTCCCGCTCTACAAGTTTGTAACAACTCTTGCTCAGAAGCCTCTAGTGGCTTTCCATGCTGCATAGTTTCAAACTTCCCATTCAGTCATTACATTCCTCCGTAACCTCACCACAGCCTGCTTTTCCGGCCTTTATTACCAACCATATTAGTTTATTTTCATACTGCTATGAAGAAATACCCGAGACTGGGTAATTTATAAAGAAAAAGAGGTTTAATGGACTCATAGTTCCACATGGCTGGGGAGGCCTCATGATCATGGCAGAAGGCGAAGGAGGCGCAAAGGCATGTCTTACATGGTGGCAGGCAAGAGAGTATAAACCATCAGATCTCATGAGACTTACTATCACAAGAAAAGCACGAGGAAGACCTGCCCCCATGATTCAGTTACCTCCCACTGGGTCCTTCTCAGGATATATGGGGATTATGGGAGCTACAATTCAAGATGAGATTTGGGTGGGGACACAGCCAAACCATATCACCAGTGAAAGCTCCAAACTGCAAACTGGACCAAGAACCTAATAGGTAGTTGCTGTTTCCTGGTTCCTGAGAATCTTAACTCCCTTCCCTGCTTAAAACTCCTGACCTTCTCCAAAAGCCTGGATTAAAAGCCCCCTCCCTGGGAAGCTTGCTCTGATGGTCGGACCTCAAAGCACCCCCTCCTTTCTCTGAAGCCACACTGTGCTCTGCAGCCTCTCCGGTACCAGGCTTGTCGGGTTTTAACTGGTCACCTCCAGGTGCTGAAGGAAGACTTTCCTGGGCTCAGCATCGCTTATGACTCAATTCCCAGTAGTTTTTACTGGACATGGAAGGGGCTCTGGAAGTATTTCTTTAATTAATAATTTAATTCCCTAAGCAGAACCCTCGTTTCTCTCCTTTTGCACCCTTTATGTATTTTTGTGGCCACAGTGCCCCCTAGTGGAGAAATGTTCACAGGACAGGCTGTGGCTGTGCTAATCCGCTGTGTCCATTTTCTGGACTGTTGAAAACAGGCACTTGAGACCCATTTTATGATTTACCGCAGAACAAAACCCCCGCGGCACGTGTATCAAGAATAACACACGCTACTGGAGTTAAAATTCTGAGCTTGAAACTCTGTCCCTCAGCTCATGATCAACCAAGGACACGGCAGTGTGCTTTTTTTTTTTGAGACGGAGTTTCGCTCTTGTTACTCAGGCTGGAGTGCAATGGCGCGATCTCGGCTCACCGCAACCTCCGCCTCCTGGGTTCAGGCAATTCTCCTGCCTCAGCCTCCTGAGTAGCTGGGATTACAGGCACGCGCCACCATGCCCAGCTAACTTTTTGTATTTTTAGTAGAGACGGGGTTTCGCCACGTTGACCAGGATGGTCTCGATCTCTTGACCTCGTGATCCACCCGCCTCGGCCTCCCAAAGTGCTGGGATTACAGGCGTGAGCCACCGCGCCCGGCCCGGCAGTTTGCTTCTTAACTCCAGGTCTTTGCCTTTTGCCCTGTATGGCGGGCACTTCTCTCTGAGAGTAAGAAGGTCAGCACTGTAATCAGATGTCGTCCTCGGAGCCCTTCCTTGTCATTGCTGTCCTCTCTGCCCGGAGTCCCCTTACTCTTCTTTCGTGCCTGTCCTTTTAGGCTCAGCACGCATCTCACCTATTCCATAAAACTTCCTCTGACCAGACCAGCCTGGAGAGCTGTGCCTCTAAGTCCCCAGAGTAAGTGTTGCCTGCACAGTTAAACCAAGACGACGTGCTGCCCTGGAGTGATTTTTGTAAACATTTCTGGCATTTAAAGATAGAATATTTTTAGCGTTCTTAAAAATAACGCTATTTTTTGGTCCAGTTTGCAGTTTGGAGCTTTCGTTGGCGATACGATTTGGCTGTGTCCCCACCCACATCTCATCTTGAATTGTAGCTCCCACTGTAGCTCTTCCTCTGTCTTAAAAATAGAAGATCTTTAGTGCTCCATGCATGGATGGCCTATCTCGGCTGCTGGATGCAGGGGCGTGGTCCACTGATGCGGTTTGTCGTGGAAAATAGACTCCACTGACCCAACCCACAGGCAATGCCTGCAGAGCTTCCCTGGCTGCAGTTCTTCGTAAATGCTCCAGCAAAGATGAAAGAGGAGTGAGGGCCGGGCGCGGTGGCTCACGCCTGTAATCCCAGCACTTTGGGAGGCCGAGGCGGGTGGATCACGAGGTCAAGAGATCGAGACCATCCTGGTCAACATGGTGAGACCCCGTCTCTACTAAAAATGCAGAAAATTAGCTGGGCATGGTGGTGTGTGCCTGTAATCCCGGCTGCTCGGGAGGCTGAGGCAGGAGAATAGCCTGAACCCAGGAGGCGGAGGTTGCGGTGAGCCGAGATGACACCATTGCACTCCAGCCTGGGCAACAAGAGCGAAACTCCATCTCAAAAAAAAAAAAAAAAAAAAAAAAAAAAAAGGACTGAGGTCGCTGGTCTGGATGTGTCCATATCTGGCCAGGGGAGACGTGCACATGTGCAATGACTTAACTCTGAATCCATGTAACTTAAGGATATTAATCCATAAAACTTAATGCAGGCACGAAGGGATCTGATACAACCTGAAGTAATGAGTAATCCTCCCACTTCCACCACCCCATCCACCTTGTGCACCCCAACCCCCACCAGGAGTCAAGTGGGATGGTCAGGGAGCCTCCCTGAGGGAGGTGAGTTTCCATGACAGTTTTGTAAGTGAGAGGAGAGAGAGCGTCTCATCTCAGGGGAATGAACTGGCATATCAAAGCCAGAGAGAGGGAACATGAAGATGTGCAGGTATGGCTTGGCAGAGCAGGCTGGGGGTGAACAGAAGGCTGCCGTCGCTGATGTAGGTGACATCATTAGGTCTGAGGGCTCCTGAGAAGTCCCCATACACGCGTCAGGGCCAGGGCCCAGAGGTGCTCATGGGAGTTTGTGCTTTGTCCCCCAGGATTCTTGGGACGAGCTTCTTATTGGTGATGTGGAACTGAAAAGGGTGATGGCTTGTTCCAGGTAAGGGGCTTTCCTGTCCCTGTGGGGTGGGGGCGGGGAAAAGGTCATTCTGCTCTGTCCCCCTTATGATGCTCTTTGTGTGTGTCCAGGTGCATTTTAACCACAGTGGATCCAGACACCGGTGTCATGAGCAGGAAGGAGCCGCTGGAAACGCTGAAGAGGTAGGATTGGGCAGACGGGGGTCTCATCCTTGGACTTAGGTGCCTGGAAGAGAAGTAATACTTGTTGCTTAATGTTTATACGAGGAAGCAGTGAAAACACCACACACATGGTCTTGAAGCTCAAGGGGGTCCCATTAATGAGATACTGGGTGTCCTAACGGCATTGCGGTTATATAAGAAATGTCAATATATTTTAGAGAGGCTGACTGAAGTATGTGTGTAGGAGTAAAGATGTGGCATCTGGAGCTTGCTATATATTATTTTAGCAAACAGAAAAAAAGGATATATGAGTACATTAAAAAATGTGTCACAATCTTCATAAATAGAATCTGGGTGATAATTATGTGGGGGTTTATTGCACTATTCTACGTTTATGTTTACTTTAAAATTTCTTGAGAAAAAATTTTAAGTGAAAGACACAGTACTGAGAATCCTTGTACATTGTGGATAAGGATAGTCAAGGTACCATGTTGATTTTACAAAGGTGATTATAAAATAGCACAATTTACTTTTTCATTTCTGTTTATTTGATTTTACTTTTTAAAAAACACATAAATGCACATGAGTAGATAAAAGGCTGCAAGAATAGAAAACGCAGTGTGTTACTGGAGGTGATCTTTTGGGCACAGTCATGGAATTATGGAAAAAGGTTCTTATTTGGAGGCTCCAAGCTTTCTCTAATTCCTCTGCATGACTTTTGCTAAAACAGCAACAATAACAGTTCAGTATCTGAGAACTTCAGTTCTGTTATCTGACACATTTGGGACCCAGGAAATTGCTGAGACTGTGAAAATGAACTAAAGGTGCTTCTCTTCATTGGTCCCTTTGACATTGAATGCTGAGTCACAGGCCGGGTGTCAGGTCTCATCTCTATAGTCCCTGAGACCCCTCCTTGCCCTTCGTCCTGACCTGTCATCCCCAGGTGTAACTTGTAGAAGGGAGGGTCCTGGGAACCTTGAGGAAGGAATGCAGTTGAGATGTGACAATCTTGCATGAAAACCTTCATGAACGAGAACATGACAGAGAGGTTGTGCTGGACTTCGTGGAGGAGGACTCACTCCCTGTAACATGAGGCTGCCTGCCTCCCTTCCTTTCAAGTTCATGGCCTTTTTGGGGGCAAATCAGTCTTCTCTGATCACCACCAATCCCTCCCTGACAATTCAACTGCCCCAGATCTGGCCCTCTCTCTGGGCAAGCTGAAGCCCTGGGCTGGAGGGCTGTCATCCCAGCTGTCACCTGAGCATGAGGCTCTGTCTGGCCTGATGTCTCTGGCCAGCACCTGTAGTCCAGTAGATGAGCCCCAGTGAAGGGGACAGGCTGCTGCAGGGTCGGCAGGTGGCCATCAGGGCCTAAGCCACCTGGCAGAGAGACAGCGGTCAGCAGGGAAGTCAAACAGGGTTGATGGAGGGAGTTACAGAGAAGGGGGTTTGTGGGACTCAAGGAATCCTTGAGGTGGATAGCAAGCGGCTGCTCTCTACCTGGCTCCGACAGCACTGGGTATGATTTGCAGCGCCCTTCAAAGAGGGGGCTACAGACCAGCTTAAGGGAATCCCAACATTTTTAGGGATGTTTCTCAGTACTCACAACATTAACAACTTTTTTGAAAAAGCTAATACTGTGGAACATTTAAGATTGGTATATTTCATTCCATGTAACTTTCACCTCAAAAAATAAAAAGCAAATAATGTTGTTTACTTTAGGTAATAATATTCCAGCTGAACTGTTCAGAGGTGAAACGTACTGATACCTGCAACTTACTTGGAAACGTAAAAAGACAATACAATAGATTGATGGATAGATATGTATGTGATAAGGAAAATATAGTCAAGGCTGGGCACAGTGGCTCAGGCCTGTAATCCCAGCACTTTGGGAGGCTGAGGTGGGCGGATCACTTGAGATGAGGAGTTCGAGACCAGCCTGGCCAACATAGTGAAACCCTGTCTTTACTAAAAGTACAAAAATTAGTTGGGAATTGTGGTGGGCACTGTAGTTGTAGCTACATGGGAGGCTGAGGCAGAATCGCTTGAACCGGGAGATGGAGGCTGAAGTGAGCTGAGATTGTGCCACTGCACTCCAGCATGGGTGAGACTCTGTTTCAAAAAAAAAAAGAAAATATACTCAAATGTTAAGTGTGGAATTTGAGCAGTGGGTAAATGGGTGTTTGCTGTAAAATTGTTTTACTGTATGCCTGTTTGAGAATTTTCATAGTAAAATTTTTTGGGGAAATGTCAGTACGTGTGATGAAACATTGATTGATTGGAGGGGCAGCGTCATAGTTATTCTTTGAAATGTGCTCGCTCACTGTCAGAACAAACCAGAATTCAGTCTTTCTGTTTTCCATGGCTACAGAGGAGCTACAAGGGGCAGAAAGCAGGGTGGGCCAGCAGGAAGAGCCTGGCCTGGGAGTCTGGAGACCTGGCTCTGCAGCACACCAACTGCTGTGCTCGCCAGCACGTCCCCTCCTGTCCCCACCCCCACTCAGGCCCTGAGTGTTCTCTATAAAATGAGGGAGGCAGGACAGAAATAGATGATTCTGTGTAAATCAGCAAAATGCTTTGGGGAATTGGCTGTCATCCTTTTTTTGTCCATCTTGCTCTCTCTTTCTCCCAGCGTGGTGCTCGGTGTGGGGCGTCTTTCCCTCCGGATTTAGAAGGTTTATGCTCTTGCAGAAACAGCCTCCGCAAAGTACTTCGTGTGTTTGGGCTTGTTCTCTGAATCTTCAGTGCCCCCCTTCCTCCACTGGGAGCCTGTGTTTATAGAAGGAGGATAATTGACCCTAAACACAGAGTGAGGGCGGGAAGGTGGGGGGTGCAAGGAGCCAGCACACCCCCCTGATCTTCTGCAGGCTTTGTACAACCAACCAATCCGGCCCTAATTGCTTCTAATACCCCAGGAGACAGTGCAGCTAGCCTAGGTGTCTTCTCCTATCTCTTACTGAGATTTAAACTGCCAAGGATGTGTAATTGATGTTCTTCCCAAGGCAGGTGGTCATAAATCGGGAAGAGAAAGTCCCGGCTGCATCCCATGAATCATGGGCAGGGGAGCAAACAGTGGTGTCCACAGCATCTCTCCTGCCGGGCAGGTTGCTCGGAGCTACACCGCTTTCTGCCTCCAGGTACTCATGGTGCCCACGGCTGGGGTTGCTTCTGGAGTGCAAATGCTCAGCTGGGAGACCCCTCTGCCTGCCCAGCCCTGCCTGCTGATGTTAGTCCCTCATAGGCAGAGCCTGGGTGGCACCACAGTGCGAGAAAAAGAAATACCGAGGCATAGGGGAGCCTTTGTAAAATACTCACAGTGGGCAGCACAATGGAGGCCTGTGTGCTAACAGGAAAATATGAAAATGGAATTTTTCTTCTCTTTCTTCAGGGAAGTGACATACACGCTGATCCCCATGGTTGAATGACTAGCCTGTCATTGTCGCTTCCATGACATCTTGCCCCTAATGGAAAGAGCACAGCACAATTACTGCATGGGCACTCAAAGCAGCGTTTTGCTGGATGCACGAATACCATGACAGTAATGATGTTTGCCAGCAGCCGCTTGTGTCAGCCTGTGCTCTGCTGACTCCACCCCTCTCTAGCTGTGTCACCTACTAATTGTGTGAGATTGGGAAGTCGCTTAGGTTCTTCAACTCGCAGTTTCTTTATTGGTATAAACTGGTCTTCTAATGCCTCTTCTGGAGACTGGAATAAGGCAAGAAATAGGAGTTTTTTTTATAGATGATAGATTATTGTACATAAGGTCAGGCGTGGTGGCTCAAGCCTGTAATCCTAGCACTTTGGGAGGCTGAGGTGGGGGGAATCACCTGAGGTTGGGAGTTTCAGACCAGCCTAATCAACGTGGAGAAACCCATGTTTTAGTAGAGTGGTGTCTACTCAAAATGCAAACAATTAGCTGGGTGTGGTGGCAGGTGCCTGTAATCCCAGCTACTCGGGAGGCTGAGGTAGGAGAATCGCTTGAACTTGGGAGGCAGAGGTTGTGGTGAGCCAAGATTGCGCCTTTGCACTCCAGCCTGGGCAAAAGGAGCAAAACTCAGTCTCAAAAAAAAAAAAAACAAAAAACTGTACACAATGACCATGTAAGCTGTGTCATTGAGAGTCCCTGTTTATAAACTCGACACCTTCTGAGAGGAGGAGAAGCCTGACACTTCTTCCCATTCTCAGAGGCTGCTTTGAATGAAACCCAACACGAACTTGCCCAGTGGCCAGCCTCTGCAGGTTCACTGTGGGGCCTCTCTCTGGAGTGTTCACAATGCTGTTTAATTATTTTATTTTATTTATTTATTTTTTGAGACAGAATCTTACTCTGTCACTCGGGCTGGAGTGCAGTGGCATGATCTAGGCTCTCTGCAACCTCCATCTCCCGGGTTCAAGCAATTCACATGCCTCAGCCTCCTGAGTAGCTGGGATTGCAGCCGTGTGCCACTATGTCTAGCTAATTTTTGTATTTTTAGTAGAGATGGGGTTTCACCATGTTGGCCAGGATGGTCTCGAACTCCTGACCTCAGGCGATGTGTCTGCCTCAGCTTCCCAAAGTGCTGAGATTAACAATGCTGTTTAATTCTTAACGTGGCCATAGAGATAGGCAGTCATGAGGCGTCAGGAATGGCTTCTGCTCCTGGTGATTTATGGCCCCATGAACACCAGTGGTGGGACTGGGCAGCGAGCAGAGACTCTGCCTGGAGTCATGGACCTGGACGTTGACCAGTGAATGAGTAACCCAGGCAGTGTAAACAAGGAGCAGCCCTCTGTGGTGCACAGCACTTTAAAGGTAACAAGTGTTTCCATTTACAGTGTACCTTGTAAATAATGGAGACGTCAGTTTAATTAAGTGTCTTGGGCTTCTTGCTCGTTAGAATAGTTATGTTTCGTATTCATTTAAGGAGAAAGTGCACTATGAAAGATTTTAAATGAGTTTGCTATTTATTAATACCAACAGAAATACCTACACGAAAAGTCATATATTAAAAAAAAAAATCACAGAAGACCCATGTATGAAACAACACTATTTTCTTTCTGTCTGTTGAACTTGGTGTGCACAAATCCATAGGGCACTTGCAATACCTCTTAGTGCCACAAAGGGCCGCTAGTGACCTCGTTGAGTCTTCCCACAGCCTGGAGAGGGCTTCAGCAGCAGCAGCAGCAGCAGGAGGAGGTGCAGGAGGCAGTGGGAGCCCGCAGCAAAACCAGGAAGCTGTAGGGAAGCCCTGGCAGGCTGGCGAGCCGAGATCCACTTCTCCACTCCCATAGCTCTTCCCACTTCTCCTCCTAGACAGCGGAGTGGACTGCCGTCTGGGAGCCGCTGACCACACCTGCACTTTTACAAAGCAATTCCCTGAGCCCGATCTGTGCAGTTTAGGGAGGCTGTGCCGGGTGGTGTCCTCTTTAGGGTCCTCTGCTCCTCATGACCTGGTTGGGGAGTGAGTGTATGTGTGTGGTTAGCAGGAGGGGGTAAGTAAAACCTGTAAGTGGCTAGAAATTTGTGTAGATGACTAAATTGTGAGACCCTCGGATCTTCTCAGGCCTGTGGGGTACTCAGGAGGATGCCGATGACCAAGGTTGCATCCTGGGTGGGAAGAGCCCACCAGACTCTGAAGTCAGCCAGGCCTGGGCTCTGGCCGCAGCTGGACCCCTTAGATCTGTGATCTCAGGCAAGTCTGTTACTCCCCTGAGACTTAACTGTAAAATGTAGGGAGACAAGTTCCCACATAGGCAAGCTGTGTAAAGTTCCTTGTAAACTCTCCATGTGTGATACGCAGAGCTCCGACTCTCAATTTCTCCCCAAGGTCATGAGAGCCTGGACTCTAGACTACAGAGCTGGGCAGCAACAGAAATCCCAAGCTATACAAGCCGTTGATGTGTCTCCTGTTCCTGAAGAGGCCCTCTGACAGACAGATCCCAGAATGTCATGGTGTTGCATGCTGACAGAGGAGAGCCAGGCTGGGAGAGAGGCCTGGGCTTGTCAGGTCCAAGGTCACTGCAGAAATCTGATTACAGAGAGAGGAAATACTCTTGGCAAGGCAGGGAAGCCTGCATCAGCAGCTTGTCATTTTCGTTCATTCATGTGTTTGTTCATTCATTGTTCAACCAATATATATTTTTATTTTTATTTTTTTGAGACAGAGTTTCGCTCTTGTTACCCAGGCTGGAGTGCAATGGTGCGATCTCGGCTCACCGCAACCTCCGCCTCCTGGGTTCAGGCAATTCTCCTGCCTCAGCCTCCTGAGTAGCTGGGATTACAGGCACGCACCACCATGCCCAGCTAATTTTTTGTATTTTTAGTAGAGGCGGGGTTTCACCATGTTGACCAGGATGGTCTCGATCTCTTGACCTTGTGATCCACCTGTCTCGGCCTCCCAAAGTGCTGGGATTACAGGCGTGAGCCACCGTGCCCGGCCCCATAGATTTTTTTTGAGTGGTTACTGTGTATGTATGAGGCACTGTTCCAGGGCATGAGAATGCAACAGGGAGCAAAGCGGACGCGGTGCTGCCTACAGGATGTTTACAGTCGGGGGAAGGAGCTGCCGGTCTCCAGAAGGAGGCTTTAGATCTGACTCTGTTTTCTCCTTAGCCATTTCTGATCTGAAGAACAACATTAGAACTAAGTTGTTGCAGTCACTTTTTAAAAAAGCAAGGCAGAATGAAATGAACGGTTTATCTAAAAATGTTTTAAATATAAAAATGATGTAAAATTAGAGTTAGATTCAATAAAAAACTGAAGGTTAACTTCTTCTCAGTGGGGAAGGTGGGAGGAATCTTGCCATGTTAGCCCCACACATCTGCTTGTGTGCCCTCTCCCTGCGGCTTCTTGAGTTTTCCGCTGGACAAAGATATTCATATATCTACTGTCTCTGACAGATGGTTTTACTTGTGAGCGTACCAATCCATCCAGCAAACAATGGGGGGCGGGTCACAGGTGACATAGGAGGCCCAGCATTGGGCGTGAGCAGTACAAGGGCATTAATCACAGTTCCTGTTCTCTGGGACTCTGCCTTGTAGAGCAGACAAACTTGTGCCCTGACATTACAGGACAAGACATGTGAGTGTTGGAAGGACAAAGAGAATTGAGGAGGGGGAATTACTCGTGATTGGGGGATCCCAGGCTTCCTTCCTGGGAGATGTGGTATTTGAGTTGAGACTTGAAGCAGGTATAATTCTAAAGCATGAGGATCTGGAGGAGGGACATTCCACGGGAATCACAGAGGACTCACTGGGTCAGTAAAATGCAAAGCAAGGGGAAACCCAGCAGAGAGCTGCAGAGGTGCAGGTAAGGAGCAGATAGCAACAGGTTTGAAAAAGTAGGCAGGGGCCAGGTGGAGCCCTACACACCAGGCTGAAGAGTTGGAATGTTATTCTGTAGGCACTGGGGAGCCATGGAAGCTTTGTGAGCCTAGGAATGATAAGACCAGGGTATAGTTAAGACAGTGATACAGTGCAGCATCAACAATGAGTTGAAAACAGGTAGAGAAAGAGGAAGAGAGGTTAGTTAGGAAGTTACTACAGCAGTCTGAGCATGCCGGAAGCAAGATCGTGATGGTGGGAATGAGGAAAAGCAAGCTAAGTCAAAGGATGCTGTGCGGGAAGAACCTTGGGACCGGGCAACTGTGGACAGGCTGTGGGAAGGGAGGACAGGTATAAAGTAGATGGGCTCCCAGCCCAAGTGACGGCTAGGATGGTGATTCAGGTGACAGGCATGGAGGAGACAAGGGGAAAGATGCCTACGGCAAAGGAAGGTGATAAAGTATGTCTGGACATACTGAGTACCTAATGTCTTAATGCCGAAAGGGGGAACGTGAACGTAGAGAAAAGATGTGAGGATGTGGCCATTGCTGATGCTTCTGTAGTTGCCTGCTGGGCAGGCTGTCCACTGCCCCCTCCAGGAGGCACTGTTCTGTTAGGCTTTGGTGGGATGGTGCCCTCTGGAGCTGTGCACACGGAGGCACTGTGTGGGAGGGAAGACACGTGCTTGTCGAGCTGTTACGTCCGCTTGGCTGTGACTCATCATGATCTTTTCCTATTGCAGTTATCGCCAGTGTGATCCTTCAGAACGAAAGTTATATGGAAAATCACCACTCTTTGGGCAGTATTTTGTTCTGGAAAACCCAGGGACCATCAGAGTGGGAGACCCCGTGTACCTGCTGGGCCAGTAATGGGAACCGTATGTCCTGGAATATTAGACTCCTTTTTAAAGTGCCCTTAAAAATGACAACACTTGAAGCATGGTGTTTCAGAACTGAGACCTCAACATTTTTTTTAAATTCGTGATTTCCACATTTTTCTCTTTCGGACTTCTTGCATCTCAATGGCTTCAATGTCCCAATACACAAAGCAAAGGATTATAGTCTCAATAACTTAGTAGGACTTCAGGGAGTCACTTAAGTGATGAGATAACATTCTGATTATGTGATTATTTAACTGTGATTATGGAGTAGTTCTTTCTCCTGCGTCTCCATTTATCTACCAAGAATGCAGACCTTCATCCTGTCACTACCACTCGTTAGGGAAAGAGAGGAAGAGAAAGGGGAAGAGTGGGTGGGCCGGAAGAATGTCCTAGAATGTGTTTTTACCCCTGTGCATGAGGTATGCAATGAAAATTAGCTCCCCAGATATGGGTGGAATGTCACTTCCCTCTTCTTCTCAAGCCCTGGGCTAGATTTTGAGATGGCAATAAAGAACCGAGCTTCAGGAAGCACTGCAGATACTGATTTTCCACAGATCCTGGATCTGGCGCTGCTGCTCCTCAGACAGCCTCGGGTTTCCTAAAGGTGCTCAGGAGGGTGGCTGTGTAGTCACAAAGCCTCCTGGATCCTTGCCGTTGCCCTCAGCTCATGCCTGTGCTCCTTCTCCAGTTCAGGGTGAAAGCTCTGAAGTCTGCAGAGGAGAAGAACAGGGATTTGGTGATTTGAAATAGACAATTGAAGACCTCTAAAGTAAGAAAAGGAAAGCCTATGTCAGTTTGTTTAAAACCCAGTGTCTATTATTTTAACTGATTGTATAACACTAAGATCTGATGAAGTGTGTCTTTTATTGCCATTTTGTCCTTTGATTGTACTGGGAAGTTGACGAAACTTGAAAAATGTTTTAAAAACTGTGAATAAATGGAAGCTACTTTGGTAAGTTTCAGATCTTAGTAACTTCTTGGCACAAAGTTAGAGTGTGAAAGCTGACTGAGGCTGGGCAGAGGGGCTCATGCCTGTAATCCCAGCACTTTGGGAGGCCAAGGTGGGAGGATGGCTTAAGCCTAGGAGTTTGAGACCAGCCCAAACGATATAATGGACCTTCTCTCTACAAAAAAATGTTAAAATGTGCTAGGTGTGGTGACACATGCCTGCAGTCCTGGCTATGGCCACTTGGGAGGATAAGGCAGAAGGATTGGTTGAGCTCAGGAGCGGGAGGTTGAGGCTACAGTGAGCAATGATCGCACCACTACACTCCAGTCTGAGTGACAAAGTGAGAGCCTATCTCTCAAAAAGAAAAAAAAGAAAACCGACTGAGGCGAATGGGCAAAGCCGATTAATTCTGACACCCGACCACAGCTGGGTCTTCTGCACAGTGGACCTGCTCATCCGTAGCCTCCCAGGCAAGCACCCACCTTTCAAGGACTATCAGGTCAACATGCTTTTTACCAAAAGCTGTGCGTTTTTCACTTTGATTTTATGAAAGAGGTCAGTAATCACTGAAATCTAGCTGAGCTCTGAGGTGAAGTTCTGAGCTAAGAGGTACATGTGATTGTTTTCCGGTTGGTGAATTACTACAATTTGTTTTCTGCACACTTGGCGTGAGCTGAAGGATGACATCAGTTATCCAGAGAACCTGAGCCAGCACCTTCCTCAACAGGTCCAGTTGATGTCGAAACTGCAGATAGATGGAGACAAAGTGACGTGTTCAGCAAGTAGCATTACTACTGGGACCTGGGGGACCCGTGGGACACTGAGTGTCCATGGGAATAGCCAATAGGTAGGGAACAATCAGAAACCCAAGGTTGGGTTTGGTGGCTCTTGGTAGGTATTTATGATTAATGGCAAGTGAATGCCTTGGTCCTGAATTTCTAACCACCTGTAAGAACAAACGGCCACTTCTCCCTGCCTGATCAGTGCCAAAGGCCACACTGCAGGGAGTACCCCTCATTCTCCATGGATAGGCTCTCGGGGTAGCTAGCTCTGCGGGGCAGCTCCCAAATGGAAGGGAGTACCCTCCTCACTGGACAGGCCTGCCGTTCTGTCACACTGTGAGGAAGATTCTTGTTTGAAGAGAGAAGTTCCAGTGACCTCTAGAATCTCAGACTAGTTGCCAAGCTTTCTGTCAGTGAGATTTAAAGGCCATTTACTTGTGTTTATTTTATACTTAATGAGTTGGTTAATGCCAGAGACAAAGCTGATGTCCCATTTATTTTGGATACTGAGCATTTGCACACTATTCCACTTAAAATGTAGGATTTTTTGGAATGTAGGCCAGCCCAAACTTTCAGATCTTACAACAGTGGATGACGGACATTTGGGGTCAGGACAAAGTATCTACCCTCGGTGGGCGTCTCCTTCTGTGCAGGGCAGTGGAGAGTCACAAACTCAGAGCTGAAGAGGGGCTCCCTAAAGGCTTGCTTTTGCAGCCATTCCGCAGAAAATGTTAGAAACCTGCAGCAACTTACACATACAAAGGCAGAAAGAAATCAGCGTGGGCTGTTGGAATTCAGGCAGTTGTCCTACAGGGAGACATGTTCCTGCTTTCCTTCTCTCTTTACTGATAATAGGGTGGGTGAGAAGATGAGAGTGGAGGTCTGCCAGTTTGCTAAGAGTGCATGGGGAGGTCAGGTAAACGACACTAGCCAAATGGGACTTTGGGAAGCCATCTGTGAGGCTGTCACCAACAGTGATGGTGAGCTGAAACTCCAGACAAGTGCTCTGGGCATTCCGAGGGTGTAACAAATTAAAGCAACCCATGATGGTGGAGAACAGATACATTAAAGTCCCTTGAAAGCGACAGAGTGGCTCTCAGACCAGACATTGATTATAGGTGTAATCGGAGTGTTGATACCACACCCTAACACTGCATTTCCCAATGTCTTATTGGTCCATGGAATTCTGAAAGTTTGCCTTTAGGGATGCGCCTAAAAAGAATTCCATGGACCAGTAAGTTTGGAAAGTCCTGCTTGCGTCATTTCTCTTTAAAAGCAGAAGGCTCTGGAGAGGCCTGCATGAAGACATCTGTGTTTAATGCCACCCTTCCGAAAGGTCTGTTTTTGACTGTCTTTTGAGAAATACTCCTCTGATCTCCAGCCAGCCAGCCAGCCAAGGAATCCCAATTAGCAGGAGGAGTACACTCATGGGAAGACTGAAGAAGTTAAAAGTGTCCCCATGTGAAGGAGACCTCTCTTGGGATCTTGTCCTCTCCCTTATCACTTCTGCTGGGTTAAAAAGATGGAACTGGGACTTGATAGGTTAAAGGAGGTGTGGGGAAGTGTCTCTCCTGTTGTGGGCCTCAGGGAGAAGCTCCTCTTTCTTTGGGATCATTTTCCAAACGTGCATTCCTGGATATCCAGTGAGGGATCAAGGTGAGGGAAGGTAACCCAGACTCTCTCTAGTCCCGCCCTTACAGCAATACCTGTGATGTAAGTTACAACAATACCTGTGACGAGCGCAGTCCTGCAGCAGGGAGGCATTTCTGCTGTTTTCCTGTTTCTCTTTCGCTAGCTTTTCCTTTCTGTTGCAACTCCTTTCATCTACTGCTGCCTTCATCCTATAAAGCAGGATTACCTCAGGGTCCTATGGCCCTGCCTCTCCCTACATCTGCACAAAGCACTACTGTGCTTTGCTCTCTGTGAGAGCAGACATTGTTTGCTTCACTACTTTCTTGGAATTGGGTAAAAATTTCAAGCAAGAGGAAGACTCTGGCTTTGCACCACAAATGTTCTTAGAATTGGGACAATAGAAAAGTACCCGAGGCATCCCTTGCTCTACTCCGATCACAGTCTCTTCAAAGGAAGGGGCCCAGCCACAGCTCTGCCTGTAACCCCTCTCTCCCTCCAAACAGCTGAGGATGGGGTGGTGGAGCACCTGCTCCCGTGCTCTGTGGCCTGGCTGAGAGAGAAGAGCTGCCTTACTTACATTATTATTCTTCCTGGACAGGCTGTAGGTTGTGTAGGGTAACAAAAAGGACTGAGAAGTGACTTCACGTTCAGCTTCTTCCAAGGCCATTTTTGATGGGCAGGTCAAGTTCACTCACATTTGGCTATTCGTTGACCAATCGAATGCATTCACCCTTGGTGGTCCTCAGTCCTGCTCCTTTACCTTCGCAGAGCATTCTAGACTGCTCTTCCTCTTACCTTTTTTGTGAAATCCACAACCCCTAGTCCCTCCTCTTCAGTGGCGTCTCTTATGCCCTCTACCAATTCCTGACCTGGCATTGGTCTATCTCCAATCATGGTGGAACCCTGTGGGAACTAAGTCGAGTCTAACTTCTGTCTCCCTGTTTAGAATTTACTGGGAGTACTGTAAATAAAGTATTGTTGTCATAATTATTTCTGATTAGCATTTTTACACCTAATAAAGTCTCAGAGAGATTGAGTTCACTGGGTCCAGGGGAGGGGCACCTTCCACATGACTTGCCCAGCAATTAAAGCCGCTTGTTAGTCCGAGGCCTGGGATGGCCGAGGACAGCTGGAGAGCTCTTCGTTGCAGGCAGCTCTGGTTAACATCAACCAGGAAAGCTCTTTGTAAACACATGAATAATTGATCGTCCAGCGCTCACATAGCTACCGCGGATCTGAGCCCGTATGACTCATTTGCGAGTCATTCCTGTCGTCTGGATGCCATAACATTGGAGGAATGATGATGGTTTCTTGGAGGTTCTTCTGTGGCCAGAGTTGTCAAGACCAAGGCTGTAATGGTTTGTTATGATGACCTTTGTTATTCCATTAGGCTCAATTGCTTTAAAAAATGATGTGTGCATACTTTAGGAACGTTTTTACCCTTTATGTTGACCTGACATCATAGTTTATATTACAAAATGTATTAATGACAGAGGAGTGTTTTCATGTCCCAAGGACAAATTTTAACAACCATAATCTGCCCTTAGTCATCATAAATATAAATGTATTGGTCAAACAGATCTCGTTAATGTGGCCAAGATAAATGCAAGTCTATATTTTAAGGCAGTCGAAGTCCTAGAGAATATATTTAGAGCTTTTTGTGGGGCTAAGAGATCTTGTATATGTGCTATCAAAAGGCTGAGAAAATTAACATGCTCCCCCCTCTGATTTTGCGTTGGACAGATATAAACGTCTTGGGGATGTCGAGTAAGATTATTCACATAGTTTCTGGACACCATTAATGCCTGATGGGGTGAATCTTAGTTCTTAAAGCCATATTCTTCTCATTACACTCTCAGGGTTTTTGAAAAGAGAAACAAAATAAAGATTTCAAATCTTAGCAATGTGCTGCCCAGCCAACATTTTTCTGAGTTATACTGTGTCTTAAGTTTCTCATTATATCATTCTCCCCATTCCCCAATAGCTTGCTTCCTGTGGGACAAGCCCCTTTTCCGCAGTTGTACGTTTGACATTTTGCGTCATTCCAGTTGGCAAGCCACATGTTGTCGGACAGTGCTCTGGGCATGATCTGGAGGACAGGATGAGTGCTTCGTTTTCTCTTTGTTTTGCCACACTCACAAGTTTGGATCATTATTCGTGGTGTCCACATTTTAAAGCTTCTTAGGGAGAAAATAAATCCTTGTTTAAGAAACACTTTATAATAGTGTTTTTATTTTGAGCCATGAAAATACATTTAAAGCAGTAATGTCTCAAATGCTACTGTCAGAGCAGACTGTTTACAGAAATGAGTTTATTTCCCCCAAATATGGGGAGAAAAAAAAAAGAAAACCACATAGTGCCGTAATTAGCCTCTCCAAAGATTACGGTCACCTTGCAATAAATGACGAGCACTTCAATTAAAACCATTTACTCTTTTTCCCTTTGAAGAATCTTCTAAAGCAATTTTCTCTTCTGAATCTGCTGCCATTTTTGGCAACACCAAGTATTGGGCTTTAGGAATGAGTTTTGCCTGGATAAATGATCTGGGACTGGGGACTGGATTATTCTAAATAATTCGTGCCGTGAACA